CTTCCTCTCTTCCTGCCTTCTTTCCTTCCTTCATTTCTTCCTTCCTTCCTTCTTTTTTTCCCCCCTCCCTTCCTCTGAGCATGTGCAGAGGGCCTTTCAGGGTCCACCCACTTTTTAGGGTTCCTTGCTAGCAGGCAGGAGTATTAGAAATGTGCACTTCCTTGAGTTATATTATTAAAAAGGCAGGATAAAACTATAATAATAAATTTTGGTTCAGTGTCAGAAAGTTTAATTGGAAAAAAACATTCTAGTTGTGAAACCAGTCTTTCTGAGGTTGGAAAATTGAATGTCGACATAGGTGCACGGAAATACACTTTTTGCAGGTTTCCCCCCTATTTGCGGCCTTTTCCAATCGTCCGTTTCCTCCTTTGCCTTTCAGGAGTAAACCCCACTCCTGTTTGTTGCTGGCTCTCTTTTTTTATATATATATTGTGTTGAAACGAACCCTGGCACCCCAAAGGTACTTTTTCTAGAGGCCATTTCCCACCATCCAGTCAGAACTGAAGAAGCTTCTTGGATAAGAAGTGAAACATCTTCACAGAAAAACCAGAAAGTCTAGCTGCCTCTTGGGAAAAAAACACCTTTGGGACAACTGTGACTTGGATGTCCAAGAACCTCCCTAGGCTCCCTGGCATCATTTAATACTGATTTTCTCTCTTGATTAATATTCCCACCCCTTTTCTAAGAATATATGCTTTCCTTCAGGCAGAATGAATACTGTAAATTCAAAGTGGTAGTGTTATGTTTGCTTTGTAAGACATCTGATTCTTATTTTCTGATGAATACTGTGGGGTTTTTTTTCTCTGTGTGTTTTGGCTAGACACTGACTCCGGATCGGATTCAGATTCGGACCGAGAGAACACCGGCTCTGTTAGTAACATTTCCGGTAGCGAGAGCGACCGAGAGGATGATCAAGATGCTTTAAAACCCAGCAATAAAGAGTTGTTCGGTGAAGACAGTGAGGACGACGGTGTGTCTCACCACAGCGGCAGCGACAACCAGTCCGAACGCTCCTACATTCATTCTGAAGGCTCGGCGCACTCTGAACACGAGGACAACGACCAGTCCGAGATCGAACAGCACAGTGGCTCGGAAGCTGCACACGATGAGGAAGACGATGAAGATCGCAGATCAGAGGAAGGAAGCCGCCACTCCGAGGCGGACGGATCCGAGAAAGCACATTCCGAGGATGAAAAATGGGGTGGGGAGGACAAGAGCGATCAGTCAGAGGAGGACGAGAAGCTCCAAAATTCAGAGGACGAAGAACAGATTCAGCATTCCGACGACGAGGAGAAGAACTCTGATGACGAAGAGAGGACCCAGATCTCAGACCACAAGGAGAGGATGGACCAGTCTGATGAGGAAGATGAGAGACCCCAAGTCTCTGACGAAGAGAAGCTGCAGAACTCGGAGGATGAGGAGAGGCCGCGAAATTCCGATGAAGAAAACATGCAGAACTCGGAGGATGAGGATGAACGGGTGGCCCACTCGGAAGAGGAGAAGCTTCCGAATTCGGATGACGAGAGGCCTCAGCATTCAGAGGATGAAGAGCGCCATTTGTCTGAGGAGGAAGAGGAACGCGAGCACAAATCGGGTAAAAGAAATGGGGGTTCGTGGATGAGTGCGAGATATATTTAAGGTTTAGCCTTCGTCTTGGTTTTCTTTGATGCCTTTGTTAAACCTGGTTCTCTCATGAACTCTAGCCATGATGCTTTGGAATGATGGGAGTTTTAGCTAAGCAAATCCAAAGGGATGCTTAGGTTGTTCCATTGATCTTGGTTATTAGGAGCCACGGATGGCGCAGTGGCTAGAGTGCAGTACTGCAGGCTACTTCTGCTGACTGCCGGCTGCCTGCAATTTGGCAGTTCGAATCTCACCAGGCTTAAAGTTGACTCAGCCTTCCATCCTTCCGAGGTGGGACCCAGATGTTGGGGGCAAGAGGCTGACTCTGTAAAACCGCTTAGGGCTGTGAAGTCTGTGCTATTGCTATTATGCTCAGAACATTGCAAAAAATGTAGCTGTTCCCCCAGGCTTTGGGTTAAGACAGTGTTTCTCAACTTCAGCAACTTTAAGCTCTGAAGACTTCAACTCCCAGAATTCCCCAGCCAAACCTTGCTGGGAATTGAAGTCTTTGTGGCTTAAAAGTTGCTGGGGTTGGAAAACTCTGGATTAGGCTGAGCTGAGAACCAGCAGAATGTTATCTCTTAAAATTCTCCCCTGGGCTTTTGTTTTTGCATTATTATTATATTATACACAAAAATGACAGTATACATAGCAAACGAGATAACTATGCTGGGTTTCATATCACAAATCACTAGTCGAACACTTCCCAAGTGGCGGATTATGCGAGCAGATTCTAGTAAGCTGTTATCTCTTAAAATTCTCCTCTGGGCTTTTGTTTTTGCATTATTATTATTTTCTACTTTTTAATTCGATAAGCCATGCAGTGTGGTCTCTAAACTGCAAAGAGAAATGAAATGAACCCTTGGCCATGTGGGCATGTTTTTTCTAGATAAATCACTGTCAGCAGTTTGTCACTGTACACGGCATGACAGACTTTGGTTAAGCAAAACTGACCAGCTGTTTTTCTCAGAGATGAGTACATCACCTTCAGACCTGCTTCTCACAGTCTGCTTGATTTACGTGGCCCCAAATTAGGTTTTAATTGACATGCAAATATGGGGGAATCAGCATGCTGATGATTGTATTCTCTAGCATCTTGAGGGCTCCAGCTGGAAAGGCTAGTCTGGGAGGGTGTGTAACCCTGGATGGAAGGCTAAAAAAAAAAAATTACGTCCTCACAGAATCGCCAAGAGGCAGCGACAGTGACGATGATATCCCCCAAATGAAGAGCAAGAAGCGAATTGCATCAGATTCCGAAATGGAGAGCGATGCGGAAGGGCAAAAAAGTAAGCGACACGTTGCTTCCTCCTCTTCTGGTTGCATTGCGCTTTGATTTTAAGTGACAAGCCATTCTTCTTTTCCTCCAGTGGCCTAGTGCAGAGACTTCCAGGCTCGGCTGTACATTTTTAGCCCCCGCAAAAGTGTCATGGGTGTAGTTTCACAGGGCTCTATGGGTGGGGCTGTAAGAAGTTCTGATGTTCAAGGACTAAAGGTTTCCTTTAAACCACTATTTGTACTGTGGACTGGATCCTTCACCCTGATCCAAATTCTCCAAACCTGGAGGTTGCAGCAAATACTATATAACAAGGGTCTTCAAACGTGATAGCTTTAAGACGTGTGGACTTTCAACTCCCAGAATTCTTCCTCCGGTCATGTTAGCTAAGGAATTCTGGGAGTTGAAGTCCACACGTCTTAAAGCGGTCAAGTTTGAAGACCTTTGCTATATAAGATGTGCCCAAATTACTACTTCGCTTGGAAAGAAAAGAGAAATCGTGTTACTGGTCTTTTTAAAAATGGTGAATTATTTCCTTCTCAGCTTTCCTCTTAAGAGATCAACTCACAAGGCCCTATATATCCGACTGAGCCACTTGAAAGAAAGGATGTTCTTGTGTAGGAGATTTTGTGTGTGTGTGTGTGTGTTTGCCCACTTGGTTTACTAACTTCATGCTGACATTTGAGCCTTGTTCTAAACCAGCTTCTGGTCGGCTCCATCTCTGATTTTGTAGGTCTCTCATTTTTCCTTTTGCCAGATTCGCTCGTCTTTTTCTACACCATAATTCTTCTGTTTAACCTTCTGCTTAAGATAACAGAGACGCCATGGATTTGTTTGGAGGAGCAGATGATATCTCTTCAGGAAGCGACGGAGAAGACAAGCCACCAACCCCAGGGCAGCCTATTGTAAGTGGAGGTCCCAGCATTGGTGGCAAAGAAGAGCCGCCTCTTTTGACCCGGTCATCTCAATAAAAGCCTTGCTCGGAAACTGTGAGATGAGATTTGGATCCTGTAGTTCTAAGGATTGGATGCTGTGCAATCATCCTGTTAGCAAAAGAGTAACGATAATCCACAGCTGCTTTCCGAAGGGATCACTGAGAATTAATCTTCAGCACATTAGCCTGTTTGTCTTCTACGCCTGCATTAGCTGCACCACCTTGGAGATGTGGAAAGGAGGAGCACTAGGAACGTAACAGACAGATTTTGTCTGCAGAGGAAAACCTAAAATAGGCTAAAATAGAATAGAATAACAGAGTTGGAAGGGACCTTGGAGGTCTTTTAGTCCAACCCACTGCTTAAGTAGCAAACCCTACACCACTGGCTATCCAACATCTTTTTAAAAACTTCCAGGGTTGGAGCATTCACAACTTCTGGAGGCAAATTGTTCCACTGGTTAATTGTTCTGACTGTCAGGGAATTTCTCCTTAGTTCTAGATTGCTTCTCTCCTTGACTAAAAGAATCTCAAAGTTTCTTCTAGTGGTGGCTTTGAGCCTCTTGGTTTAGCTTACTCCACAAAATAAAATTTCCAAGTCCCCCTGTGAATTGCCTTGCACGCAAATGTAACCTATCATGTAACAGCATGTAGTAATAAGGAAAACAAGATTGCAGACAGCTGAAAAAACAGTATTCTAAAGATAGCTAGATTTGAAGCCGCCAAGTAGTTGGCATGTATTTATCCTCAACAAGTTACTCAAGATATACACATATATACAGTACAAAGAGGAGGAGGCGTGCACCCAAATGAGCAGTGCCCTGTTAGCATCTATCCTTTTCAAGGCAAAGGATGGCAAGGTAATTCTTTGTGGCTGTTTTACTTCCTCATTTAGTAGGAAGCCAACCTTTGCTTCCTTCCTCCAGCTAGTATTTTAAGCAGGCCTCACGTTGAGTCCATGCATCAGAATTCTCAGTAAGAGAACTAATAAGAAAAGACCTGAAGCACAAATATACTGAGGGATATTCAGCTCAATTTCATAACCGATTTGAGGCCTTTTCTTCCTCCTCTGGATTAGGATGAGAATGGTTTGAATGAGGATCAGCAAGAAGAAGAACCTATCCCTGAAACACGGATAGAAGTAGAAATTCCAAAAGTCAACACGGATCTGGGAAACGACCTGTATTTTGTAAAGCTTCCCAACTTCCTCAGTGTGGAACCCAGGTAAAGGAGGGGGAAAATGATAAGCCGAATCTTGGAAAAATGCAGGGAGCCCTGGACGTACGACCACAATCAAGTGCTAAGTGAGATGTTTGTTAAGTGAATTTTGGCCCGTTTTACGACTTTCCTGGCCACGTTTGTTATGTGGATCGGCGCAGTTGTTAAATTAGTCGCAGCAGATCTGGCTTCCTTTTTGACTTTTGCTCCATCGCCACTGACACATTCAGTCACATTCAGTCAACCCTAACCCTGCTGCTGACTTATTTATTTAGCGTATGGCATCTACAGAAGTCATGCAATCACTAATTTACAAATTTAATTTAAAGCATCAGAATATAGATGTACGTTTATGTGCGTGTGCTTGTGTAAGATAGGTAGACAGTACAATATAGGAGATAATAACTTTCTGCACCTCTGTATGGTTTGCTAATTGCACAGGGGCAGATAGGACAGCACTCCAGAGGGTTAATGTCATTGCCCAGAAGATCGTGGGTTGCCTTCTCCCCTCTTTGGAAGAGCTTTATAGCTCCCACTGCCTTAAGAAAGTTCAAAACATTCTCAAAGATCCATCTCATCCTGGGACCCCCCCTTTTTTTTTTGAACTATTACCATCTGGCAGACGGTACAGGATAATAAAAACAAGGACAAATAGGCTGAAAAACAGTTTCTATCCCAGGGCAGGAGTTCTGTTGAATTCTGCTGTATAGTGCAGTGTTGGTGCGGTGTTGCGGGTTTTCAATTCAATGTGTGGAGAGTGAAGGATGTGTGTTTGTGTTTTATTTTCAATGTGCACTGAAGATGGTGTTTGATTTCACTGTACAAGGTGCAATGACAATAAAGTAAACTTTAAATTAAGATAAAACCATAATAAAATCACTCTAATATGGAGCCCCCTAGAATTGCAGTGGGATTTTATAATCCAATATCTAAAGAAGCTTAACCTTCTCACGGCTTCTGGTTTGGCTGTGGTGAGATCATCCCAAGTGCCTTAAAAAAAAAATCTTAGCTGAGGATTGTTCTCTTTCCTTTCACCTTTTCCAGCTTTTGAGCCATTTCAAGCAAGCTAGTCCTCTTTACATAATACCAGCTCGGTACCCGTGCTTCGCTACGAAACTGTGTGCTCGGGCTTAGTTTTTGGGGAGGAAAATAAGGTGGGAAAATTCTGTCTCTGCTTTTATATATCTAGATGTCCCAAGTAGGGTAATACTATGAGCCTGGTCGTTTGTGCCTGGAGTGAGAGAACTCTTTGACTGGGTTTGTGCAATCTTCTTACTGTCTCACAGGCCTTTCGATCCTCAGTATTACGAGGATGAATTTGAAGACGAGGAGATGCTGGATGAAGAAGGCAGGACGAGATTAAAACTGAAGGTAGGGCGTAGAATGCCGGGGCGTTCCTCTTCCCCTACTTCCCTTGCCTGACTGCACAGCCACCGTCTTTGCTCCTTGACTGCAATCCTCTTTCTGCCCTTTTGTGCCTCGAAAGGTAGAGAACACAATACGTTGGCGAACTCGCCGAGATGAAGAAGGTCAGGAGATCCGAGAAAGTAATGCACGAATCGTCAAGTGGTCTGACGGGAGGTAAGTGGACACTTGGAAAACCGTGAAGCTTAAAACATGTTTGGAGGTGGAGGGTAGAAGAGATTATTCTTAGGGGAGATTTTCCTCTCGGTTTCAGATCTTTGGTCCCATTAATTGAAGGCGAGGAAAGCTTGAGATTGTCTTGAATGGCACCAACGAATTTAGAATACAATGCAGTGCAGTGCAATGAAATGCAATTCAAAAGAATACTGTAGAATAGAATTATAGAATAGAATAGAGAAAATAGAATTAGAATACAATACAAAAGAATACTATAGAATAGAATGCAATACAAAAGAATACTAGAGAAGAGAAGAGAAGAGAAGAGAAGAGAAGAGAAGAGAAGAATTGGAAGGAACCTTGTAGGTCTTCTAGTCCAACCCCCTGCCTAGGCAGGAAAGTCTACTCCACTTCAGACAAATAGTTGTCCAATCTCTTCTTAAAAACTTCCCATGTTGGAGAATTCACAACTTCTGAAGGCAAGCCGTTCCGCTGACTAATTGTTCTCACTGTCAGGAAATTTCACCTTAGTTCTAGGTTGCTTCTCTCCTTGATCAGTTTATCGGTGGATTAATTGTCCTCTCTTTTTGAAGCATGTCCTTACACTTGGGGAATGAAGTCTTCGACGTCTATAAAGCCCCCTTGCAGGGAGACCACAACCATCTCTTCATCCGACAAGGGACGGGACTTCAGGGACAGGCCGTCTTCAAGACCAAATTGACCTTCCGGTAAGCGTGCAAATATTTTAACGGCACGTCCTTTTTCTTTCAAAAGGTATCCTTTTCCCCCCTAAGCATTAACTTGCTTCATTTGTCGCAGGCCACACTCCACAGACAGCGCCACGCACAGAAAGATGACCCTCTCATTGGCAGACCGATGTTCAAAGACGCAGAAAATCCGCATTTTGCCCATGGCTGGCCGCGATCCGGAGTCGCAACGCACAGAAATGATTAAGGTAAAAAAAATATCCTTAAACTCTCCTTTTCCTTTCCTCTCCTCTCTACAGTAGCCAGAACTGTAAATTTTGGCTGCCTTGTTTCTTAGCCTTTCTGCTCAAAGTCTGCAGATCTTTGATCTCTATAGTGTTAAAGGGACCCTAAGCCGGGGGCCTTCAAACTTGACAGCTTTAAGACTTGTGGAATTCAACTCCCAGAATTCCTCCTCCACTCATGTTACCTCAGGAATTCTGGGAGTTGAAGTCCACAAGTCTTAAACTTGCCAAGTTTGAAGGCCCTTGCCCTAAGCTATCATAGGATTAAGACCCTTACCTTGTTGAATATGCTCCTTGGAGCATGCTGAGGGAGCAGCTTCATAAAAAGGAATAAAGGCTTATTAAATGCCAGCATCAATTGATGTGTCCCCAGGTATAGTTTCCTTGCTTTTGCCTGTTCCGTTTCTGTTCTGAAATACACAGGTAGAATTCTCCCTTCATTTTGTGGCTAATGTGGTGGCCTAGAATCCAGGTGACAGTGAGCTCTAGTCCTGCCTTAGGCATGAAAGCCGGCTGGGTGACCCTGGGCCTATCAGCAGAAGCCCGAAAGCTTTAATTCCTCCTTGGGGACCGAAAAGCCAGCTAGGTAACTTTGAGCCTCCCTCATTCACTCTCAACCCAACCCACCTCACAGGGTGGTGGTTGTGGGGAAAATAGGAGGAGGAGGAAGGAGTGTGAGGTATGTTGAGTTATGCACGATGTATTAAAGGAGGGATAAAAGCATCAAACGAATGGAAAGCAAATTTTATTTGCACAGTGCTACTCCTCCATGAGCCAGGGTGAGCTGAGCAACTGGCTCCAACTCAGAGATCACCATGGTTAATTATTTTAATCTGGCCTTGTCCAGATACGAATTTGATTGCTTATTTGCACCCTATGACTCTTATTAAGTGTTGTACCTGATGAATTCTTGACGAATGTATCTTTTATGTACACTGAGAGCATTTGCACCAAGACAAATCACACTTGGCCAATAAAGAATTCTACTCTACTCTACTCCTACTCTACTCTACTCTACCCTATGACTATTAGTAAGTATTGTACCTTATGATTCTTGACGAGTATATCTTTTATGTACACTGAGAGCATTTGCACCAAGACAAATCACACTTGGCCAATAAGGAATTCTACTCTACTCTACTCTACTCTACTCTACTCTACTCTACTCTACTCTACTCTACTCTACTCCTACTCTACTCTACCCTACCCTACCCTATGACTATTAGTAAGTATTGTACCTTATGATTCTTGACGAGTGTATCTTTTATGTACACTGAGAGCATTTGCACCAAGACAAATTTCTTGTGTGTCCAATCACACTTGGCCAATTAAAGAATCCTAAAGAACTCTACTTCTACCATTTAGTCCCCAACACAGAAACCTAAAGCAACCATCCCGGCTTCTCTTCTTCTCTCCTGCAGAAAGAGGAGGAAAGGCTGCGCGCGTCCATCCGTAGGGAATCCCAGCAGAGAAGGATGCGCGAGAAACAACACCAGCGGGGCCTGAGCGCCAGCTACTTGGAGCCCGACCGCTACGACGAAGAAGAAGAAGGAGAAGAGGCCATCAGCCTGGCAGCCATCAAGAACAGATACAAAGGCGGGATACGAGGTATATCCTTCCCCCACTCTCCTCCTGACTGGTCCCAGCGCACCACTCCCAGTCTCTAAGCCAGTCTGGCTAGTCCAGTGCTGAGAGAAAGGTGCCAGGTTGGGGGAGCCTCGAGCTTATCGAACGGCCTACAGGTCACTCAGTCACCTGTCCTCTTCCTTGACAGCCCATTTGTTTTTTTTGCAAACATTGCAGCTGGGTCGGCGTTACGCTTCAGTGTGTACCTTCTGTTGTGTTCTCTTCACACCGTGTATTTGCTTTCCCTTGTTCTTTCTCCTTTTTTTGCACCGCGCAGCGTTTGCTTGTGCAAATAAGCATATCGGTATCGTTCTCCGCATTTTCCACGCTGGGTTGCATAGAGCGAGAGCGGCCTGTCATTGCTTATTCCAACCCGGTTTTAAATGCCCAGTTTCTAAGCTGCACTAAGAAGATCTAAGGTTTTGTTTTCCGGCCTGGACTTCGGCGTATAATGAGTTGTTTTCTCTTCCAGAGGAGCGCGCTCGAATTTATTCTTCAGACAGTGACGACGGTTCGGATGAGGAGAAAGCCCAGAGGTTGCTCAAAGCGAAGAAGCTCAACAGTGATGAGGTGAGAGAATCCAGATGAAGTTGGACATCAGTTGATAAGCCAGTCCATAACTCTCATCTTTCTGGGTCGAGGTACAGCGAAACTGCCATTTAAAGGGCAATGTTGAGGTGTCTCACCAAATTTGAATCCAGTCACCCCTGAAATAACAAGCAAGTATGCCGTTTTTCAAAATATTTGTGGATGGCCAAGCTAACTTACATCATTTAGATGAGGGCCCTTTTATGACTTGTGGACTTCAACTCCCAGAATTCCTGAGCCAGGAATTTTGGGAGTTGAAGTCCACAAGTCATAAAGGGGCCATAGTTCTATTCCCCACCTCTGATTTAGGTCAACCCATATCATTGATTAAATAATAATAATAAAGGCCATAAACTAATAAATATGTGTACAAGTAGTCCTTGACTTATAACCAGCCCTTTAGGGAACATTCAGAGTTACGACATACCTTCCCAGGGCTACTTACGATCTGGATTCAAAGTTCAGATAGACAAGACAGACAGACACACATACACACACTCTGCAGTCACATAATTGCATTTTGAGCGTACAGAAACGATCTCGCATTTTCAGCTGTATGCACTATCCTGTGGTCATAAGTGCGATTTATAGTGGGTTGTTTTTTTTTTAACAAAAAAACCGCATTTACTTCGATTTCCGACCAAAAATACCCATGGCAGACATTGGATTTACTTGCCAAGTGTCTGAATTTTGCTCACACGAGCATGGGGATTAGCCAAGGTCGTAACTGTAAAAAAAATGGTCATAAGTCGCTTTTTTCAGTGCCATTGTTAACTTTGAATGGTCACTCAATGAACTGTTGAAAGTCGAGGATTACCTGTATAGAAAACCTGTCCCAGGAATAACAAAAAAATCCATTTCAGCAAAGCAGTATAAATCCAGAGCTGGAGAGCAGCCAGGTGCTCTAGACGTGAAGATGTTGGCTTCCCAGTTGGAAGGTTGAGAGTTCAATCCTAGGTAGCAGACAGACGTTTCTCTATCAGGATGCAAAGAGAAAATATGTGCTGCGAACTCCCCGTAGGTGTCAGGAAAAGCATCCGGCCAGTAAATGCTCAGCTCCATTCAGTCACCCCGACTCCACCCAAAACAAAGGGATTACAGGGTCATAAAAAAGAAAATATAAACCCAGAGATGGAAGTGGTATCAAAGGCCACCCACGTCTATTCCCCGCCGTTGCAGAAATCCATCATCAAAACTCACTTTCTTGATAGCCAATCAGTCTCTGTTTAAAAACAACAACAACCCTGCAGTGGTGGGATTATGGTTGGGGCGGGGGCAGGAAAATTCTCAAATTCTTCTCTTTATTTATTCTGCCCTGAAATGAACTCCTAATAACAGATAATGGAAAGCTTGTCTTTTTTCCCCCCTCTTTTTCAAGCTAACAAGCCGTTCAGTTTGAGTGTTATTCAGCTTTACCACACGGTTGCGCTTCAGCATTAAATAAAAAAAAACCCACAGCACTTGTGACACAACTATGGTGGCATGCCCAGACATTTGCATTTTTAAAAAATAAGAGCCCTCCTTTTAATCAGTGGTTCCCAACCTTTTTTTCGACCCGCACTCCTAAAAAAATTTCACTCGAACCTCGCACCCCCTGAAATAAATAATAAATAAAAATGCCAACATATAGCCAATATCCTATTATTTACCTGGACTTTTCTCGCACCCCCTGGAATATCATCTCGCACCCCCAGGTTGGGAACCCCTGCTTTTAATCATAAGTCATCATTAGTTGCCTAAAAATAATTTAGAGAAGGATTGCTTTGGGAGACTGGTTACAGTGGGAGAACCTTTGAATTTTTCAAGATATGCATAAAGAATCTAGGGGGCAAAATGTATTGATCTGGAAGGCAACCGTCTGTATTAAGATGTATCACGTGTATTTGGGAAAATAGGGGAGAACCTCACCCCCAGCTCAATATGCAAAGTTACTGTCATTATTTCAGAATTTATATCTACTTAAAGCTATAAGGAGTTAATAAAACTAACCTCCAAGTTATTTCACCTAAGGGAATGGAATAGAATTTGAATTAGAATAGGGATCCCCAAACTTGACAACTTTAAGTTGCCATGTTTGGAGACCTCTGGAATAGAGAAGTAGGGTAGGGTAGGGTAGGGTAGGGTAGGGTAGGGTAGAATTAGAATAGAATAGAATAGAATAGAATAGAATAGAATAGAATAGAATAGAATAGAATAGAATAGAATAGAATAGAATAGAATAGAATAGAATAGAATTCCTTATTGGCCGAGTGCGATTGGACAGGGAATTTCTCTTGGTGCAAATACTCTCAGTATACATAAAAGAAAAAATACATTCATCAAGAGTCAAGAATCATCAGGTCCAAAACACTTAATGATAGTCATAGGGTGCAATAAGCAATCAAATCATACTAGGAAACAGTCAATATAAAGCGTAAGGATACCAGCGACAAAGTTACAGTCATACAGTCCCAAGTGGGAGGGGATGGGTGATAAGGAGCGATGAGAAGATTAACAGTGCAGACTTCGTAAATAGTTGGACAGTGTTGGGTGCCTTGTATCTGATTTTTTTTTTTTTTAATTGCAGGAGGGTGAGTCTTCCGGTAAGAGGAAAGCTGAAGATGACGAGAAGGTCAGCAAGAAACAGAAGAAATACGTGATCAGCGATGATGAGGATGAAGATGTGTAAAGGGCATGGACTCTGAACTTGGGTGATAGTTGTTGCTGTTGTTTTTTAAAAAAAAACACTATAGAGATATATATTGTTCTTTTTCCGACCACGTGTAAGTAGATTTCGTGAAGATTGGAGCGGGAGCAACACTTGCATTAATAATATTAATGTAAATAAAACTTTTTGTGGGTTGTTTTTTTTAATGTCGCAGGATTCAGTGTGTATGTTCGGTGAACATTTTTAGGCCTGTGTGTCTTTCGTTGTCTAGGATTAGCATTCTACAGGATGGGCAGACCCCATTACGACTTGCACGTCGAGAACCAGCTGCCCCCAGAAAAACTTGAGATGTTTTGACATTCTGTTCACCTTCCTTGGGCAAGAACGGGGTACCTGCGGCTCTCCAGCTTCTGTCAGCTCCAGGAAGGGGATGATGGAGCATTTAAAAATAAAACCTGATCGGAGTTTGAGGATCGTCGGAAGTATGGGAGAAAGGGAAGGCATCAATCAATCATTTAGCCGTGTTCCAATATCTCAGGGGCTGCCCCAAAGAAGAGGGAGTCAAGCTATTCTCCAAAGCACCTTAAAGGCAGGACAAGAAGCAACAGAGGGAAACTAATCAAGGAGAGAAGCAACCTAGAACGAAGGAGAAATTCCCTGACAGTGAGAACAATTAACCAGTGGAACAACCTGCCTCCAGAAGTTGGGAATAGCAATAGTACTTAGACTTATATATTGCTTCACAGTGCTTTCCAGCCCTCTCTTAAGTGGTGTACAGAGTCAGCCTCTTGCCCCCAACAATCTGGGTCCTCATTTTACCCACCTTGGAAGGACGAAAGGCTGAGTCAACCTTGAGCCTGGTGGGATTCGATCTGCCAAATTGCAGTAGCTTGCAGTACTGCACTCTAACCACTGTGCCACCAAGGCTCTCTGAATGCTCCCAACACCGGAAGTTTTTAAGAAGAGATTAGGTAACCCTTTGTCTGAAGTGGTGTAGGGTTTCCTGCCTAGGCAGGGGGTTAGACTAGAAGACCTCCAAGGTCCCTTCCAATTGCTATTTCATTGGAACGGTGTAAGGTGTCCTGCCTTGAGAAGAGGATTGGACTAGAAGATCTCTGAAGTCCCTTTTTGACCTATGATTGTGTGTTCTGTGTTCTAACTGTAGCAGGGAAGGGACAATGGGTCCCCTTAGCTTTCTTCAGAAAGAGCATCCACGAATGTCTGACCATGAAGAATCCTATGCAATGCTAAACCATCTCCTTGCTCTTCCCCCGTATTAAGCCACTAGCTAGATACTCGTGCTTTGCTACGACATCGGCCTGATTAACGTACAGGATATCGGATGCATACTTTTTTTACAGCCTCTCTGTTGACTTTGGGATGACGTTGACGATACTTTTCCGCAGGTTCCCTTACTTGTGTTTTCCTAATCGCAATCTGTAAATCTTTTCCCGTGTTTTTTTTTCCCCTTTAACTGGTGTTAGAGTAGAAGGAACAAATTCGTCTGAACTGAGGAGGTCAGTGTAAGAAATGAGTTTGGGCTGGGACGCTATGCAGGAAAAAATTCGGTTCGCAAACCATTGGCTTTGTGGTGGTCGGTGATTGAAACTCATAAGGGAATATCGCTTTCGCCACCATAAGTTCCGAAATGGTTCCATAGGTGGAAGGTGTAGACATTTTGGTGAGGTACCGACATTTAGTACTGTAAGGAGCCGCAGGCCGCTCCTGAGTGAAGGAGTGGAATGTCTGCCGGTTTGAACTGAGGTAACGGGATGTGAGGCAACTAGCAGTTGGAACAGAGTTCTTTTCAGGTGGGGAGGATGAGTAGAACTCCTTAGTGTTGTGGTTAGCCGGCAGCAGGTGCAGACAGCTGAGACTAGCAGAGTGAGGACTCGGATGAGGGGTGTGATGCAGGGATGGGGCCAGGACAAACAGAGAGTGGAGTGCTCCTTTGGAGGTTGTGGAGTCTGGCAGCAGTGACAAAGAGGACTCTGGGGGGCCTGTACTCGGTGTGCGTCCGTGCAGGGCTACTTGAGGGAAAGAGCTGCTGAAGCAGCATGGGTGACTCAGGAGTAAGGCTGGAATGGGATGGTCTCTCCTATAAGGGATAAAAGCCAGCCTTCGGGGTTGGCTTCTTTGCAGGAAGCAAAGTTCTTTCTACTCATTGAAGCCCTGTTTGATCCAGTTTGTTTTTTGAAACTTCCGGCTTTGGATATTTATCTGCCATTAGTCTTTTGTTCTTGGCAGCCTTCCGCAACCTTGAAAGGGCTTGCTCTTATCTGGGACAATTAGTTTTGAATGACTCTTGGTTGTGAATGAAGAGAATTCACAGCGCCACATTAAAAAGGTTTGGGTCAGAACACTTAGCATCAGAGAGTGTTAATTGCTGTATGAGAAATACTCATGCTCTGATGGTCATTTCGAAAAATATATTATACTCAGCTTCTTCATCGTGTAGGCCAAACCACAGTCACTCTCCTGAACTCTGATGGGGTTTTCTCAGTACCCCAGTAACCTATCCAAAACTTTGTTTTCCCCCCCTTTCTTCCTCTTCTTTTTTTTAAAAAAGTTGAGTCGACGTTAGATGGACGCATTCGCCAGTCTAATTTACTCCAAACTTGTGAGCAATTACGATCCATGAGAAACTGCTTGTGACTTTTCCGTGTGTCGCTGCACAGCCCTTGGAAAGGTCATGCGTTCCCTCAGGGATTTTTTTTTTAATTCCTTCCCTCTCTCCAAATTTTTTTTTTTGAGTGCTCTGTAACTTGCTAGAATTTTTATTTGGTGATGTGATGAATAGAGCGAAGGGATGTGAATTCTCCAGATTTATCAATTCTTTACCAGTTTGGAATCTCTCTCTCTCTCTTTTTTTTTTTTTTTTGGTGGGACAGCTCAGGTGTAAACCTTTACCCTAAATAACCTCTTTCTTAACCTCAGCAACTTTTATGATATGACTTCAACCCCCATGCAGGCTGGAGACTTCTGGGAGTTGAAGTCCGCACATCTTAAGGTTAAGGTTGAGAAACGCTGCCCCTAGACCCGTGATGGTGAACTTATGGCAGCGGTTGCCTGAATTACGTATCTCAGAGTTGGCTACGCCCAGATTAGTGCCAGATGTAGAATGTTCCCTTCAAATAAATCCTCTTTAGTAGTCTTCGTGCACATGGGAGCGCTGGAAACTGGAAGTGCAGCTCCCTGGCCAGCCGGTCTTTGCATGCGCGTGTGCAACAGAAACCGAAGACCATGAGTGCCGGAAACCGGAAGCTCAGCTACCCAGTGCATGCATGCATGCTGGGTAGCTGCTCTTCCTGTTTCTGGTGCTCCCATTTTGGCACTCGGTGCCAAAAAGGTTCGCCATCGCTGCCCTAAACCATCTCAGATCTTTCTGTGCAGGATCTTCTGTTGAATGTGAGCGTGAACAAACCTATTTTGGGGGGGTTGCCTTTGCTATCGTCCAAACTTACTGACCTCAGTGTTTCTTTCTCCCTGCTCTGGGCTTGAACTGTTCAGAATCATTTGGTCGTGGATGATTGATGGCGGTTAACTGTAAGGATTGGTCGCAAAATTGCTTCTTACCGTTTGCCACTGCGAATGGTCACTAAACCAGACTGTCATTAAACAAGGACTACCTCTATTTAAAACATTTATTCTTCCCACCCAGAAAACCCCCAGAAGCAGTTTGTGTACAACGGTTGAAAAAGTCAATTCACAGGACATCACATAGAAGGAAAGAGGAGGGAGGAAGGGAAATACAGGTTTACAAACCAGTTCTTTAGAACTAACTAGGATGATTCAGTTTACAGCTGAAAACTCTGCTGGAAGTGAAAAGGCCTGACCCTTCAAAAGGATTGATGGATTGACTCTGTGGCAGTGCCAACTCCCTTGGCTGCTCTTGGGTAGAGTTGAAGGAAGAAGCTGATGGAGTTGGTGCGCTTCCTGTAGTAGAGGAAGAGCTAGAGGGAGCAGACAACCTATCCTGTTAGAGTTTGCAGCAATCCAACCAGCACACAAGTAAATAATTCAGCGGGATTTATTTATAGAAGAAACTTGTTTATATACAATAATATAAAACATGGTGCATGTATACAACACCCATGCAGCTCTTGCAATGTGGTAGCAAGTACAAGAAACAGAAGCAATCAGTACCACCAGAACTCAGCAATCACAGAAGCTCTATATTTATACAGACCAGTTACCCTAAGCCGTGCCCAGGCTCTGAGCTATCTGACATGACTCACAACATGTGCTGTTTCTTAGTCACCAAACAGTTCCCATTGGGTGACTTCTTGTTATGGCTATCCCGGCTCATAATTCCTTACATACTGACATATCCTTCATTGGGATTAAGCACCAGGGAAATCAGGAGATCCGGAAAGTTCAAATGTGTACAGTATAAAGAGTTGTTGTGAGCTTAAGCTCCCTACAAGAATCTGAACTACTAACAGCCAAGGGAAAAGAGTGGGAGTTAAGAACAGAAGGAATTCAAGGTGAGCTGGACTTAGATCTCTTGAGGGTGCAAAGAAACTCAGGACTGATGACGTATTTGATCCCTCCCTCTTTCGGGCTCAGTCATCCCACCCTTTCTGCAAGGAGCTGAGTTTTGACATCAATTCACCTTTCCCCTGACTTCTCTTGACATTGCAACTCCTGTCTTTCCGCAGAGCATTCCCGATAAACTGCCGATGTGTTGCTACTTGTTTTGGTGTTGTTTCCTCTGCACCCCCAAACTTCTCCCTTAAAACAGGTGAAGGCAAAGGTGAAGTGACAGGACGGGAACGTGGCAGATTATCAAGATGTGTTTTTATCAGGTTTTGACTATCATGCCTAGATAAGGGCCATCAACCTCAAGGTCACTTCCTTAAGATTCTGTCCCACGCCAGACACGTTGAGATGACTTTATATCCGATCTGAACAGCGGAATAAAATCACCCGTCGATGTTGCCTTGAAAAATGCCAAGATAACAACGGGAGGGGAAAGCATTTTATTGGTTCGGGGATCAACCCCTTAAGCACCGCTGCGTGGAACTGAATTGGATCCCCATTCCAAGTGCAATTCCAAACCTAATTCCATTTGGGAGA